TAATTAAACCATACATTGAAACTATGTAAAACATTTCAATGCGAAAACAAATGCGATCATAATCGCAACCAAGGTAACAATTGATCCAACGGCATAATGATACCAAGCCTCGGTATGAGTGGCATATTTTTTAATCTTTCTAATCTTCAAGCGCATTGTATCCATCTTGATCTTGTGATCACCGACGACATCCGCAACATGCAACTCCAATATCATCTTCTTCTCCTCAATTTTTTTTATTTTTTCCTTCAACAAATTGTTTTCTTCTTCAACTAAATTTAATCTCTCGACAATAGGGTCTGTTGGCATTTCTGATTCACATACATCCTACATAAATAAAATCTATGTCACATTGGTCGGCATAATTTTCATAAATAATAAATGAACCAATAGTTATAAAGATAATATATATATATATCACATCCGAATCATAGACAGGACGAGGGCCGACGGGGGCGGATACCAAAACCATCGCACTATATAAGATGCAATAATAAAAGTAAGAAAATAATACAAGTATCTATGTAAACATACAAGTAAGAATATTTTTCCTTTCAGAAAGAAGATAAGAACAAGAGGCTCACCACGGTGGTGCCGGCGATGAGCTCGGCGCGGGTGATCGACGGCGGTGAAGACGGGGACGGGGCGTGACGGACCGCTAAACCTAGACAAATATTATGAAAAATGGAGCTTGGAGGTCGAGTTTGGAGAGGAGAAAGCTTAAGTAGTGTGGCTCGGGCATTCCATCGAACACCTTGTGTGCATAGATGGTGAGCTAGAGCACCACCAAGCCCTCTCCCCCTCGGCCAGAGAAAAACAGAGCACTGGGGTGCTCTGCTCGCGAGCGAGGGGTATATATAGGCACCCCATTGGTCCCGGTTGGTGACATGAGCCGGGACTAAAGGGGAGCCTTTGGTCCCGGTTCAAGCCACCAACCGGGACCAATGGTGATGGGCCAGGAGTGAGGCCCATTGGTCCTGGTTCATCCCACCAACCGGGATCAAAAGGTCCAGATGAACCGGGACCAATGGCCCACGTGGCCCGGCCGGCCCCCTGGGCTCACGAACCGGGACCAATGCCCACATTGGTCCTTGTTTTGGACTGAACCGGGACTAATGGACTGACCCGGCCTGGACCAAAACCCTGTTTTTTACTAGTGCATTAATCATAATCCATGTCGTTGCATCATGCCATGGATTCTCCGATAATATCGGGCGCCTCATTGCAAGCACTTTTTTCTTCCTTTGCTGCCGACATGTTATGGCGTCTGCCTTCCTGGACTGCTGGTCTCTAGAACCCAACGACCCGAATCGGACCCTTGTGCTCACAGGTCACACTTCCGTGTGCAGGTCAAATTCTCCTCTCACATACACGACGTGCATGTTTGTTTTAGTTTACGACCTTCGCCGCATCGACATAATCCTCAAACGGTTTTTAATAGTACAATTTCGCGTGCTTATCGACGGCATCGACAGGTGCACCCGGCCGGTTAGTTCTGCGATTGCAAGCACATTCTCGCTAAGGTACGGCGCATTGTCAGGATGGATCACTGCTACTACACCATGCCTGCTCTCTATCCCTTGAGCATGCAATACAAATTCCATGGCAGTAGATTTGGCTAGACAAGCAGCGGCGAGTTTGATCGGCTTTCAGCTCATTTGCAACCTCTACGCTTGGCAAGTTGCGAGCGGCAGTCAGTTAGACATGTGGGCCATCGTTGTACCACCAGGTCTATGATTAATCACCCAAAACATGCATACTACTCTCACCGTTTTTAAATATTTGTCTTTCTAGAGATTTCAGCAAGTGATTACATACGGAGCAATTGAATCTACACTCTAAAATATGTTTATATACATCCGTATGTGGTAGTCCCTTTGAAATTTCTAAAAACACAAATATTTAAGAAAGGAGGGAGTACGATGAGGTCACCCGTGAGGATTAACCCACAACATGTGCACCGTATCCGTGTGCAGCTCAAACTCTCCTCTCACATACATGATGTGCATGCTTATTTTAGTTTACGACCTTAACCGCATCGATATATTCCTCAAACGTACCTTAGGCGATCGAATGCGACATTTATACATTGAGACAATATCATGTGAAAACCACATCTTCAATGGAAGCTTGGAAACCTAACTGCAGGCCGTTGGATCCTATATGTATGGACTAGATCCATACAGAGCTGCTACGTGCTATTTGCAATAAAATGCCCGCTGGCAGCTTTGATATTTTGCACATAGCCCCTCAATGCTAGCAGAATTAGAAGCTTGTCCAACAATAATCTGCCCAAAAAATAGAAGTATGCACAGGAATGAATACGTGATACTGCAAAAAGAATAGTTGCAGTTCTATTAAAATCTTGGCTGTCCAAATATGTAGGCATGTTCGAGTCAGAGGCAACAGAAAGAATCATCAAAAGACAAATATTCTGCGTTCAAATATGCAGGCACGTTTGAACAAGATTTTTTTACATCAGGTTTGAACAGGACACATGCACGTTTGAACAGGACTTTGCAGTCTCTACTAGCCCAATTAGCTGAACGGGATGGCTCAGCCTCCATCGGGATTATTCTGTACCGAGGTATAGTCGTATAGGATGGTTGTGGGGTTCTATTTGCAATTTGTACAGCTTTTCATCCGACAACACACATTCTCTATCCAACGGCCCATGATGAAGTTCGGAGGACCACCACTCCACAACTCCACTCCTAAAGCGGGGGAGTTACTGTTGAAAATCGTGGAGCTGCCGTTTGCTCGCTCCGCAGCTCCGAGGATTTTACAGAGCTGGCGGAATTCCGAACAGGCTCTAAGATAGTCGAAATTGCTCCCTGTTTCCAAAGCCAGGCGTCGCAAGGTCAATGTAGGTAGGGGCATGGGCCATGTGCAAGTGCAAACAAACTACTACTCCCTTCGTTCCGAATTACTTATCTTGAATTTGTCTAGATACGGATGTATCTAGACTTATTTTAGTGCTAGATACCTCCGTATCTAAACAAATCTAAAACAAGTAATTTGGAACGGAGGGGGTAGCTAGTAGTACCTGCCCTGTACATGATGCGTGGAAGCTTGATTCTCTCTTTTCCGGTGTGCCGGTGGCAATCATCACAAGCAACTAGCTAATGATCTATCACCGATGAATGTCCATGGATTCGCTGATAATGTTGCTAGCTGGAGTAGCTATTTTCTGCTATATACATACATGCATGCATGATAGTAATATGGTCTGGCGTCGACCCGTCTGCAGAACCCAACGGACGGCCGGTGAATGAGACTGAGCTCACGCACGGCACAAGGAAGCTTCCAAGATGTGGTGCCATGCACGCAAGCCAAACTCTCCTAACATACGCGACATGCATGTTTTCAGGACTAAAATGCGAGAGTATATTGTTGTGTTTTCCTCCCATGTGCGCGGAAAATGGGCAGAAGCAACTGGTTACTGCTTGTGCACTGGTACGTACGTGGGCGCATTCTCACTACTGTTAGTCTGTTACCACATTCTAGTGTAATGGGGTCCCAGTCAGTGAGGGCGACCCATGAGCCATGCCTGCTCTTATTCATCTGCTGGGCACGGGCAGTACACATTCCTTATCCCTCGCAGGCCAATGAACATGGGCGGCCTGGTAAAATATGTCACCAATACTTTTCCTTGGCCTCTATACAATGCCTAGATGTAGTACTAGCTCTTTTATTTTTCTGCGGGTAATGTAGCTCTTGTTTAAACACTGCACTAATTCCTGCCAGGCCAATGAGCATGCATGGCCGGGTTAAAAATGTCACCAGTACGTTGCCTACCAAAGAAAGAAAATTGAATCATGAGAGAGGTTGGTGGAGGCATGGTGTTGATTGAATTCAACCGTCCATCCATATCAAGGGGAAAAACGTTGGACCATGTGACGTACCACCGCCATGTCTGACTCTTATAGAGGAGGAGGCCAAGTGAAATGAAGTGATCGAGCAGCCTAACTCCACGGCTGCGCCTAACTAACGTACCACTGGCCTGGAGCTCCATCGGAATGAATTGGCTGTCGGTGGTACATCATCGTCGCCCATGGACGGATCGAGGAACACGCGGCTAATTAATCATCAGCCTGGCTCCTGGACACCACGCACGTTTGCGCACGTCGATCGTGTCCACGAACAATGAACAACGACATGATCTCTTTTTTTTTGCACCAATTAAGCAGCTTCATCGGGCGTGGGAGGTTGCCGGGTGTTAATCGTGCGTGCGTGCGTCGCGGTGGCCCTGAATCGAACGAGTCCAGATGATCACAATTGCTCAAAGGAAGTAAAGCAAAGCCGTCCAAAGATGTTGCGGGTGAGCAGGAGCATACTTAGCTAGAGGACAACACCAGAGCAGAGCAGTTGTGTTGGTATGCACAACACAAGGGAAGCGGTATAGCAGCAGGCAGCAGCAACGCGGACGGACGGGCGGCTTGCTATCGTCGCGACCGCGCTGGCTGCCAAGCCGCCGCCCGGTGGAACCGTGTGGGCGGAGACTTTCAAAGCGATGGGGACCCAACCCAACAACAAGCCAAGTACCACTTCCTTTCTTACTTTCTGTTGAGAGCAAGAGCAGGAGCAAGAGCAAGAGCAATAGCAAAGCGGAGACTGGATCATCACAAGGACATGAGCCCACCCAAAGCCGTGACCAGTAGCTGCTCCATTAACACCCACACCCGCAGAGAAATAAAACACCACCGGCTCGGGCTCTGGTAATCAGGCAGGCTCAATCAGTGGGAATAAGTTGATGATCTGTCGTCTCTAAGCCGCCCGCCACGACGCGCCATCCTCCACCATCTTCTTCCTCCCTCCCTCTTAAAAGCCCCCGCTTCCTTGCCTCTTCAAGCCCAATTCCCTCCGTCCACCGCCACCCAAGAGAGAGACAGGCTCTCTAGATTCTAGCCCCGCAGCAAGCATCGGATCAAACCATCTAGTATTATTTCAGGAGGGCTCTGCCCGCCGGCGCCGCGGTTGGAAGACACAGAGATAGACGGATGTTGGGGGGCGGGAAGATGAAGGGCGGGGACGCGGTTAGCGGCGGCGGCAGCAGCAACATTAGCCCCATGGTGTCCTTCCTGCTGGGCGCCGCCGTGGCCACCGTCTGCGTCCTCTTCTTCATGTCCGCCAGCCCCGGCCGCAGCCTCGTCGACGTCGCCGCATGGAGCCACGACAACGGCACCGCCGCCCAGCACCACCACCACCTGCGCTCCGTCGCCGACGACGCCGACGCCGCCCGCAACCTCTCCGTCGTCGTCGCCGCTCCGGCACCCGCCCCCGTCCAGGTACGCACGCACCTACCATGACAATTTAATTTGTTGATTTTTCTCGCACCCATCCAACTAGTATTACTATTGCTGTTGGGTTTGAGCGTCGTTCTGCATAAATTAACTCCGGATTAATCAATTCAGACTGTATTACGAGGATCACCACTGTAGATACTTCCCCCCTCCGCGCACGTCCGTGGCGTTCCCACCGCCAGCCGATCGTTTCGTTGGTCAAATGCACTAGTAGTAGCTTAGCTAGGCTCAAGATATTTCCCATTTGCACACACGATTTTCCTCCTCCAATCAATTATTTTGTTTTCGTCAAATTGCGACAAAGGCACAAGAGCAACTGGCCAAGGTGGTGGCGCCATGCCATGCAAGCTACTAGCTACATATTCGGTGGAGGGATAATATCGGATACTAAAAACCAGAGACGCCGTTTTCATGCTAACAAAGCTATATTAAGAGAGGAGAATCCTCTTTTTGAATGGGTTGCGTGAGGCGACGGCGACCGGGTAACCAAAAGCGCGCGCGGCCTGTGTTGATCGAGTCTAGTAGTAACCAAAAGCGGTGGTGGAGCGGCGAAGACCAGCTCACGTCGGTCTCGAGGTCGACGGCGGGCGGCTATGTGTGTGTATGTGGACGTCTGCTTTCTCCGCCCTCTCTCGCCTCCAACAACCGCCCGCTCCTTTTCCTTTTCTTTCCATCCTCCCCATGTCTATGTATGTATTTTTAGTGGTATACTACAGTATACTGGGTGTCATTAGACGTCGTCATTATCAACCCTAATGACTCACCACTCTCGTAGCTTCTCCCCATGATGGACAAAAAAGAAAAGCTTGTTACACGATGACAAAGGAGCTCATTACATGAGTCATCACTGTGCACGTTGCTGCTTTCAGCACTCCCGGGAAGACATAATTATTCTGCTCTGCTGTCGGCATGGCCGCCACGACGGACACGTGCCCGCCGGTTGTTGCCTCGGCAGCCGTACACGTGGCGTCCGAAACGGCTAGTAGTTCTGTTGCTGAGACTGATCGGACGGCCCTTCTTGCTGCAGGGTGGGGACCACCCGCGCTTACACCTCGCAGTGTTCTTGGAGTAGTACATACAGGCACAGCAGCATGGGAGCATGTCTCTCTCTCTCTCTGACATACAAAATCTATTTTCGTGATAGGAATACAGGCTTGCATGTGACCACCGATCATTAGGTCGCACATGTGCAGCTGCAGGCCAGTCCATGGAGAGAAAAAAACTGTTTTTGAGAACTACAGCAGTACAAATTTAATTTGCTATAAGCTTAAGCTAGTCCCGGCATGGCCGTCAGGCCTGCATTCATTTGCCCGCGCGTCCAAATCTGTCCATGCATAAATGCTCACAACTCTCCGAACTTAATTTCCTTGTCCCTTACGATCAATGTTGGACGAACAATGCAGGCGTCGCCGTACGGGGACCTGGAGGAGGTGCTGGCGCGGGCGGCGACGGCGGACCGGACGGTGATCATGACGCAGATCAACGCGGCGTGGACCAAGCCGGGCTCGCTGCTGGACCTCTTCTTCGAGAGCTTCCGCACCGGGGAGGGCGGCGTGGCGCGCCTGCTCGACCACCTCGTCATCGTCACCATGGACCCGGCGGCGTACGCGGGGTGCCAGCTCGTGCACCCGCACTGCTACTTTCTCAGGACGACCGGCGTCGACTACCGCGGCGAGAAGTTCTTCATGAGCAAGGACTACCTCGAGATGATGTGGGGCCGCAACAAGTTCCAGCAGACCATCCTCCAGCTCGGATACAACTTCCTCTTCACGGTACGTCTTACTTTTGTTGTTTATATGCAACAACTTCATGCATGTTACTTTCAATCGATAACAGTTAGTTGAGATGTACATACAGTTGCAACAGGTTGGTTAGCTAGATTGGTTACGTGTTAGTTGGTGCGTTGCACGTTGGATCGGTGGCTCCGTGGCTGTACGGGTTTGGCCGGTCGTGCTCCGTTCAACTGTCCACAGTCTAGTCCACCGGGGTGGGCTAAGCTACTGCTTATCGTGTGGACTTTAACAATGTTGATCAATGCATGTTGCACGCTAGGTAGCCATTAGATTCTGCCGCATATGCATCGACCATGTGGAACTTGTGGCTTGTCTCCTCCGGCCGACTGAAACATTTATGAGTATAGTTCATCTTGCTTTTGATCTTGATCGCTAATACTAATGTTCAAAACGCTGGCCATGCAGGACGTGGACGTGATGTGGTTCCGTGACCCGTTCAAGCACATCTCCATGGGGGCGGACATCGCCATCTCCAGCGACGTCTTCATGGGGGACCCCTACAGCCTCGGCAACTTCCCCAACGGCGGCTTCCTCTTCGTGCGCTCCTGCAACAAGACCATCGAGTTCTACCGCCACTGGCAGGCCGGCCGCTACCGCTTCTTCGGCAAGCACGAGCAGGACGTGTTCAACCTCATCAAGCACGACATGACGGACCGCCTCGGCGTCGCCATCCAGTTCCTCGACACCACCTACATCAGCGGCTTCTGTCAGCTCAGCAGGGACCTCAACAAGATCTGCACCCTGCACGCCAACTGCTGCGTCGGGCTCGGGGCCAAGCTGCATGATTTGAGGAATGTGCTGGACGTGTGGAGGAACTACACGGCGGCGCCGGTGCCCGACAAGAGGGCCGGCAAGTTCCAGTGGAAGGTGCCCGGGATATGCATCCACTGATCCAACTCATGGATGAGTTGGTTGCCCATTCTTTCTGTTCTTCTTGCTTCGCCTTCTCCTTCTCGTGGAAAGAGAGGGAGGGGATTGAGAGGGTCAGCATCGATCGATTGATTCATTTTGTGAAATCATTTCAGCTAGATGATTATTACTCCCTCTGTAAACTAATATAAGAGCGTTTAGATCACTGAAGTAGTGATTTAAACGCTCTTATATTAGTTTACGGAGGGAGTAGTAAGTTATTATACTATATATGTACACAAACATACACAGAGTAGCAGTACTCCAGTATGCGTGCAGCACATGCATGCATGTATGCTGGTCCTGGCCGACCCTCCCTGGCCTGTAATTAAAGATGAATGAGTAAAGCAGTAGCCTGTTTATGCACCACAAGTGTTGTTTTCTTGATGATACGTACTACACTCGAATGCAAGCAGAAACACAGATTAAACTAACTTCACTGACGACCTTGGCAGGAAAACAGGTGTTGTTTAATTGAGGGAAAACATAAGTCTCACTAGCACAAATGCCCGTGCGTTGCAACGGGAAAAAAATAACACTACGAACATGACTGGCATATTCGCTACAACATAGACATGGGTATCTCATCCATGACATAATCATCACATAAGCACTGGGCTGTATATCTCCACTCGGTGATGAGATCAGACATCACTTGCACGCCCTTACCCTAATAAGCATAGCTCAAGAACCCTCTATGCCGGTCCATGTCCTCAATTTCAACACGCCTTTTATGCTCCAACGATGGCTTACGGATGTTAAATAACAATTATGATAAAATAAATTAGAGACCTATATTTACAACCCATCTCACATCAAAAATGATATAGGAAGATGTAAAATACATCATTTGGAAAATATTGTCTAGATTGTTATGCTGTTTAGAATTATTATTAAGAACTTTATAAAGTAAGTAAAGTTGAATTAGCAAGTTGGATGGAAATTGTACACTGTAATTTCATGTCCCAACAGTCCAACTTAGACGGCTCCATTAAATATATATATATAGTGTCCGAACAAATTATACACTGTAATTTGAAGTACAGATTAGACTGATGCATCAAATATGATGTACATCTAAAGTCTGAATTGTTCTCCTTTTAAGACATCTATGAACATTCAATAGACATTTTAGTTCCATAGCCCAAGACAAATTGTCAGTCATGAACCCTAAGAAACGGGACCAAGGAGTCATATTGAACGTCAAAATTGAAAGATGAAACGTTACGGTACATACGTGTAGCTCTGGGGCCATGTTATATTACATACGTGTGAAGCCACCCAGCAACCAACAAACCAAATTGATCTGTCAGAAGTAGATCCCAAACGAATCAGCATCACCTGTAAATCAAACCGGGGGTTTCTTCCAGAGTGTATATGTCACAGCACCGAAACAGCACACACTCCACAATGTTAGTACCAGAATCCCGTGCATCCATATTTTGCGGAGGCGGCGAGGTGCTCGTCCACGGCTAGCCGTCGATGGCATCCAGTGCGTGACTGCATCCACGGCAAGTCGTTTCGACGACCATGACAGCAACGTCCTTTACTCCTTCCCTGACTTCTCTCGGGCACCATCATCGGTGGACGGTGAGAAGGACCAACACTTCACGGCCTAGCTGCAGAACTTGAAGTCATGGCCGAAAGCGCTTGCAGAGAACCGGCTGAGCACGCATATTATAGACCTGGGAACACAAAATCCGTATCTTAGTTCTTAACTTCTTATAGCATGTAAAATATCTTTGCTTGGTTGTAGCTTTGACCAAATCACCAGAAGAATGGGCACATTGCAGCGTGAGTGCAGATTAGCATTTATTTTAAGTGCCATTATGTTGGCCTTTGAAGGTACGGTTTGATCGGATTTTAGTTTGAGAATTCTACAAAAATATACTATCTTAAATCTCATTGTTACCCCTCAAAAAAATCTCAGTGTAATGAAAATCTATATAAGAAAAGCTATGCATCTAGGAACATGCAGCGTCCCTTCTGAATAATTATTAGATAACTAAACTGTTAACAGAAGGATGTAAGTGCACAGAGAGAAGGACATGATCAGCAATGGAAAAAGCAAATGTGCACATAGTAAATAACCTTATGTAGTTAGACTATACACTAAGAGAATCTGGAACAAAACGATTCACAAAATGTACAAAAACGTAACTCTACAGCCTCCAGTGCAGGCTACAAAAACTTAAAATCCCTATGTTCTCTTTATGAAAATGCCCGTGTGTTGTAGTAGTCCGTCAAGGAAAAAAATATGTCCTACATTCTGTCAGCTTCCTGCAGAAGTACAAGTAAGAGATAGGCAATGCGATGGAAAAGATGAGTTCAGAGAAGGGAAAGGAACAACTGACCCCGTCGTTTACCACGCAAATACCTGTTTCACTGCCACCCATACAGTGGACTCCACCGGAGCATGGCACAGCCTAGTTGAACAATGACGCAAGTTTTTAGCAGATCAGTGGCCGGGATGGGCGGGAGCAGTACCCAGGGATTACAGAGGCTAAGTGTATTTGTCGACATACTGTGAGTTACCAGTTTCCGACAGTGTGGAGGAAGCTGAAGCCCGGGCAGCCCTGGTTCGGCTGCATGCTCTGGCAAAAAATTTCAGAGGACCCGTGGAGCTTGAGAGGGCTAATGCTCATTTCTAGAGGAAAATAATATCAGATTTCTAAGTGAACTATAATCCCATGTAGGTATGGTTGTAGAACAAAGAACATATTACACATCGATGTAGTCCCTTCCTCCTCACAGAACTAAACAAAAGAACACACAGGAGTAAAATTATAATAACTGAATAAAAGAACACACTGGACTGATTTAAATTATGAATTGGACAGAAACATTTTCATGGTTTCCTAGCAAATGAAAATAGCATCTTATCATATATTGGGTCTTCAACAGAATCAAATACATGGTCAGAGTGTTCCTGAGATTGATGGTTTTTGAACTCTGTTCCTTGACAACATGGCCCCTGCTTGCTTACTTTTGGATCGGATAGACAACCAAATCCTAAGTTTTTTTTACTTTCACTTTGCAATTTATTATATGCAGCAGGACACTATGGTACTACAATTTCCATTAAAGTAGCTACAAAAGGCCCCTAGTCAACATATTAACATGAAACTGACATGTTTCTGTGAACATCTCAAATCTGGTGGACTTGATGCCTAAGATATTTTCAACACGAATTGGTTCAATTTCTTTTATAAACTCAGGTTCAAAACTATCGCTTCTTAACAACATTTTCTGTACTTGTTCACTGCCAAATTATTCAGTATATTGTCAACTGAAAATAGACTAAACATCTGTGATTGCTGCCCGCAGTCAGTTTTCCTTAAGAAAGAAGAAATGATATGGAATTTTGGTCTACTGAGCTTTCTTCTTAATGAAAAAGAGGCATCTTTGAGAAAAAATAGCAATAGCATTCATCATCTAGTAGGGATGAATGACACGGGTGCCTTTAATATTCTTGCGGAATTTCTATGATGATTTCAGTAAAATTTCAGATTTTAGAAAGTACGAACGAGACAAAACTTTAAATATTTAATGTTTATGACTTTTTTGTTTGATGAAACCAGTAGAAAATATATTCTATATAAGTGGGAACAGGTCCAGAACGAGGCCCGTAAGAAACTATTTTCTGTTTCTTTCCCGTGCCTGTATAAGTGCGGAAGTATGCTATTATAACTATTACCGAATGGCAAAAATCTGGCACAAGAATATTATGTTATTGAGGGTTCAGGTATAAGCATATGAGATAGATCATCCAAATTTGTGAACAAATACTTCTGGTGAGCTTAGAATCAATTAAGCTATTGAGATTGATAATGTAGTGTCAAGATTTTAATAGAGAAAGCATCATTGTATTGGTAATGAAGGGGGAAAGGCATCAAAGAGAACACCTACAGAAGGATTAATGGAACCTGACTACTGGTCCCTTCTTTTGTTTTTCATGATTGCAGAAGCTTAAGTACTTGAGCAATCTAGAAAAAATACTAAAACTACTTATGAATCCCCTGCACCTCTATCAAGATAAATCATACTGTAGGTGTTGGCATCTATGATCATTCCCCTAGTCATATTCTGCAACTCCAATCACACATATAAGATAAGCTTTCTGTTCACATACTAACAGAAGTGTAGCTTCTATGAATCTACTTCAAGCACTGTAGACTTGAATCAACTTCTAGACTTGAATCAACTTTCAGAATTGAATTAATGCGCACAAAATCAAGAGAGTGATCTAATCGCTCTTATATTTCTTTACGGAGGGAGTAGTAGTTGATGATAAATGCAAAATAATTGATCAAGACTGTTGCAACTCCTGTACCAATTTTTTGTGAACCTCTTCAAGCTGTTATAATATGAAGATTTATTATATATATTTTCACAGCCAACCAATTATGTATACCTTAAGCCAATTAACTACAGAGATTTAGGGTGAAACCATATAACATTGTTCTGAACCACTAATGCAAACCTTCAACCAATTAAGTACAGTGATTTAGAGTGGAACCATTTAGCACTGGTATTTGTCAAATAACAACTGTTCTTCCTAGATAAAATTTAGCTAGCTTTATCACCTTTGATTGCTACTTCCAAAATAGTCAATTAAATTACCTCTCTGCCATCACCATGATATTAGTTTAACTTTTCCTAACATACAGTAGTTGTTCTTCCTAGATACAAATTTAGCTAGACTTATCACATTTGATCGCTACTTCTAATTATTATTTTCCTGAGGAACATCCTGTAATGAGGACAGGAGGGTGTTTTAGGAATTGACTTGTTTAGAGCTTAAGTAGTAGTTGATGACAGATGCAAATTGATTACACTGTAGTACGTGCCTCAGTCCTCAGGTAGACGAAGTTCCGGCGGACAGCGGAGTACGTGCAGACGGATTTCCGGTGAAGTCCACGGTGTGTAAAGCGATGTCGGAAACTTGCGACACGACGATGATCCAAATAACTGCAGATTAT